TAAGGCAGGAAAATCACAAGCTAAAGCCCAGCCTGGACAATTTAGCAATTTATCAAGAATTTCTCTCAAAAAAAAAAAAAAAAAAGCCTGGAAACACAGATCAGTCCTAGTACTAAATAAATAAATGGAATATCTCCCCCCCCACCCTGCTTAGAACGTGTTCTCATATTTGCTCCCATGACAGCTGTCATCATGGTTTCTTTCCCTTCTTTTTTTCCATCACTTGCCTCATGGAATAAGAAAGAGGTGTGTAGTGTGGGTAAAAGCTCTAGCAGCGGAATCAAGAGACCACTTCTAGCCTGGCTCCTTTTGAAAGTTGCCATGTGACCTTGGGCAGGTCACCGGACCTTGCTGGCTCTCTCCACACATCGGAGGGTAGTGGACCAATGGCTCAAGAAAGCCCATACTGCACAGACCAGACAACCTCCTAGTGAACCTGCGCTTGGCACTGGCCAGACCAGAGCTAGCCAAGAGCTGCAGGTTCCCTTTCATCTCCCAAATCAAAGGGCCATGGCTACACTACCCTGTGACCCTGACCCATTCCCCTGGACACAGGGACAGGTGAGAAGCTGACTCATCAAAGCCCCTGGCTCTAGGGACCTTACCAGTTTCCCCTGCCCAAACCACCCCCGCATTAGAGTCAAAGTCCACAGGATGGCAATCTAGAGCACAGAAAGAGGTAGTTCAGGGGGAAGAGCTCCATGCTTTGCATGTACAAGCCTGGGGTGCATTCCCCAGTACCAGGGGAAGGGGTACACAGCAAGGCAAGTCAAGGAAAAGGGAAGGGAAGAAAGAAAAGGGGGAGGGAAGGAGGGAAGGAGGGAAGGAGGAAGAAAGGAAAGCAGGCAGGCAGGCAGGCAGAAATCCCCATACTGTCTTCTTGCTGTGCTCCAGGGGTGGAAAGCTAAGTCTGAAAAGAACACAGCCCTGCAAAACCAAAACAAAAAAAGGCAAGGCCCCCAACCTTAAGGGAGGCGCTCCATACCCATGGGGGCGGGCAACCTCCCTCTCCTGAGTCTTGTCAGCCAGTAAGTGATTCCAGTTCTGCCCCTCATATAGTGGCGGTCACAGCCCCTCTGAGACCCAGTTTCCTCCCCTGTGAAACAGGCCAATTACCCTGCCACGTCTCCTGCTCAAGTCTGGAGGCCGCTGCTATGTGGTTAGCTGGTTCTCTCTGACCCTGGAAGGGTCAGTTTTGGAGTCCTAGGGAAAAGGTGCCTGAGCCCAGTCTTGGCAGCCCCCAGGTGGAAAAGCTTCACACCTAATCCCTGCCATCAGGTCCCCGGGCACCCTCTTCCTATCTCTCCTATCCAGCAAAATATTCTTTCCTGTATTCTGGGTGGAGCCCTAAGAAAGGCAAAGCCTCTCAACAGCTTCCCAAAGCCCAAAAAGGTCAAATAGGAAGTGAGCAAGGGAGTGGTCAAAGCTAGGGCTTTAGATCTGGTTCAAATCCCAGTTTCCCTACTTCTGACTGTGTGATCCTGAGCCAGTCACCTAACTTTTCTGCACCTCACCTTTGTCTGTCTCATGGGCTAAATGAGATCATGCAAGCTCCATCCTCAGCCCTGCACCCGGAACGCAGTGACCCTAGAAAAGGGGGTCCTTCGGGTCCTCAGAGGGGAGATAGATGCCCCCGCCCCCCCGCCCGAGACACCTGGGACCGTGGGGGTCTCTCTCCCTCGCGCCCTCTCCGCACTCACTTGGATAGCGAAAATAAAATTCATTGTTCGCGTTACTGTGGTTGCCCCAGTGCCAGAGGGCAGCATCGGTTTCGTGGTTGTAGCGGACGAAGATGGCAAAGAGGATGGCGGTGGCGCCCTGGAAGAAGAGGCACAGCAGAGGCAGTTGGAGTCGCCGGCATGCGGCGCGGCGGGGAGCCCCATCCATGGCACCGAGTGGTTAAGTCGCGGGCACTGCTGGGGCTCGCAGCGCTCAGGGCGCTGATACTCCCGGGCAAGCCTGACAGGTTCCTCGCGAGGCCCCGCCCTCCTCGGGCCCCGCCCACACGGAGGCCCTGCCCACCCGAGGCCGCGCCCACAGGGCGTTGCACTCCACTGAGGCCCCGCCCACACCGAGGCCCCGCCTCCCGCTGCTCCAGGCTGGATCCAGAGGGTAAAGAATAGCTCCAGAAGCTTGAGCCATGCTTGCTCTGGGGAGGGTTTTGGCTGGGTCGGCATGAGCACCGCGAGGTCCTCTCTCCCTTGGCCCGGCTGACCCTGGCGCCGTTCGGTGGGGACAAACCCTTGGAAGTGACCCTGGAAAGGCTCCTTGTGTTCTTGCCCTGCTGAAGGCCGCAACTGTTCAGGACCTGACGGTGGGAGGAGAGAGGGAACATGGTGTTGACTTAAGAGTGTCTCCCCAGCGAAGGGGCCAGGAGGAAGGGCTGCAGACCCAGCAGGGATGAGGTAGGAGGGAACGGAGGTGTAGAATTGCTTCCTGGGGAGGCATGTCTGAAGGACACCTAGGACCTGGGCATAGCAGGGGAAAGAGAAAGAGGGGACATGCCAAGAAGTGTGCGGCAGGAGACCGGCAGTGCAAGCCTCCTGTGTGTTCCGGACCTGGGCTTGGGGTAGGGAGTGGAAAGGCCTTGCAGGCCCTGCAAGGTACATGGCTTCTGCCCCGTGGGCCACTGACAGCTGTAAACAGGTAGGGACCATCCCATCCACACCCCCACTCCCTTCATCCCCCCACACTACAGGTTCTGATTCCTGACACCAACAGTCCACAAGGGGACTTTCTTTGACCCATTTATCCCTTGCCCAGTTCACCTCCTCCCCTCAATGACTCAAGCTCCCAGCCTAGCATGAACTCTGGAGAATAGTTGGATTCTAGGTATCCAGTTTTTCTATGTGTCCAGCTGGGGCAGTGGGTCTGCCTCTGACGGCTGAGGCTTCAGCTGACAGCTTGGCATTGTGGTCTGCAGTGGCCCCTGTCAGCAGGAAATTTTTTTTCAGAGCGCTCTTGGGCTGGGCATGGAGGCTGGCTGGTCATACATAGCCTCTGGGTAGTGGTTCAGCATCAGGCACTCTTCCCAGGCCCAACCTTCTGCCCTAGAGATGCTTCTTGAGCCCTGTTTGGGAGCAAGAGTTGCTTTGGGCTGTCCCTGGGAGAGGAGGAGCCTTTGATGGGATTGGCTTTCCCAGCATCTGGAGTTGCTTCTCTGATTCCAATCACCTCCACCTCTGTTTCATCTGCCGTCTCCATTTGTCTCTTTGGAGTCTTCTGGGTCTCTGATTGTCCCTCCATTGTTCTTCATTCATTCATTCAGCAAATATTTATTTAGGACAACCCTGGGCCAGGTCCTGCAACCACAACCATAGGCTCTAGTCCTGGTTGGGTCCTAGAGGCCACCACGGGGAGATGTTAATCCTTTATGTGTGGGCTGTGGTAGAGGTTCTGCCTGCAAGAACAGGCAGGTGAGTTTGTAAGCAATAATATCCTCCCCACATACTCATTAGTGTTTATATATTACACAATTTTATTAGTCATTTAAATAAGCAGCAAATATTTATCAGGTACATAAATCAGGTAAATAAGCAGCAAACATTCATCAGATGTGTGTCAGGCCTTTTTCTATATGTTGGTTATAAAGCAATGGAAAAAAAGTCAAAAGGGAAGGAAAAGCCTGGCATGGTGGCACACGCCTGTAATCCCAGCACTTGGGAGGCTGAGGCAGGGGGATTGGTGTGAGTTTGAAGGTCAACCATAGGGAACTTCATGAGTTCAAAGCCAGACTGAACTACATAGCCAGACCCTGTCTCAAAAAACAAACAAATGAAGAACACGAGGAAAAAAAAAATACACTCAGGTTTTTCACTAATGGGAAACTTATTTTTAAATTTTATAACCAAAAATAAATAAACCAAAACCAAATAAATAAATAAAATTAAGAGTTTTAAAGTTGTATTGTTTAAAAAACATGTCACTACTTGAAACTGGTGGTCTGACTTTGTACCAAACTCCTGCCAAGTGGTTAACAAATGTCAGAAGATAAAAACGCTAGCAGATCCTGTTTGGGGGAAGGGAGAAGACAGGCTGGGGGCAGGGAGGATATGAGGAAGAATGTCTTGGGGAACATACTCCCTGGTTCCTGCCCAGAAAATCTTTTGGGCTCTGAATCTCCATTTGCAAATTCTTTTTTTTTTTTAAGACAGGGTCTGGGTATGGAGTCGAGGATGGCCTTAAACTCACTCTGCAGCCCAGGGTAGCCTGTCATCCACACAAGTGCCGAGATTACATGTGTGTGCCACCACACATGGACCAAATTCTGTTCCTTCTAAGCTCTGAATATACCTGAAGTTCTGGATTCAGCAGCAGGGCCACATTTGAAATGGGCAGTAAATAAGGAGGCAGCTGGGATGCCACCTTGGTCAGGAGGAGAAGGGAGGCTTTGTGAGGGTGTCCGGGGCTCCACCTCCCAGTCTTCACTGTGGAAGCTGCTCGATAAGAGCTTGGAGAAAGCTATGGGAGTCAGACCTTGGCCCCGGTCCAGGAAGGGCTTGCTCATCCAGGCCGGCTTCCCTGGAAGGGCCTGGCCCTCCTAAAGTGGGGCTAGGAATCTGGGCTACTCCTGATAGGACAGCCTTGGACCCAGTGGGGTAAGGGGCCCCAAGCTCTCTCACCAGAGCCTCTGAGGCAATGTCATAAAAGCCCAGCAGATAATTCCCATTGCAATGACAAGAACCCATGCTTCCAAGTGAGCCAGCCTGCCTGGTGGACGCTGGAGCAGTGTCCTCAACTTGTCCTCAACTGTGGCTACACATCAGTCACCTGACCCAGAAGGAAGAACTTTGAAGAAGAGCAATGCTTGGCCCCACCCCGAAGATGCTGATTTAGTGACTTTCTTTTTAAAGCTCTCTTAAAAAAAAAAAAGCCAGGCATGGTGGTGGTGTGCACATGTAACCCCAGCACCCGGGAGGCTGAGGCAGGAGGATCCTTGTGAGTTAGACACCAGCCTGGGCTATAAAGTGAGCTCAAGGTCAGCCTGAACTGCATAGTGAGACCCTGTCTCAAAAAGAAAAAAATAAAATAAAATAAAATAATAAAGCTCTCCAATTTCAGTGTACAGCCAGAATTGCAGATCGTTAATCTAGAGCAGCAACCACCTCCCTCCCTGGAAGCCCGTGAGAAAAGAGAGTTTGAAGGCCCTGACCCAGGTCTATTGAGGCAGAAACTCAGGGAGTGGGCCCCGGCAGCCTACTTTCTAACAAGTGCTCTGGGTGATTCAGATAAACACCAAAGTTGGAGAACCGTGGATCTAGGGGAGCTTTGATGCCTTCTAGGCTCTCAGAGTGAGATCCAAATTTACCTGCCCTCTTAACCCAAGATGTATGGTATGCGACTCAACCTGCCCACAGGAAAAACCAGTCAAACCTGAGGGCAGGGGGTGGTTTTGCTTCTCTCTTGCAGTGTCACAGATCACTGTAAAAAGCAAAACAAAACTACCCATCTTCATAAGTGAAATAATCAGACACACATATGTAAATACCACATTGTTTCTCTGGTGTGAGAAGCCAAAAGTGTAAATAAGGATCAAAATGTGTAATAGGTATTGTGAAATGGGAAAAAAAGTGTTCAAATGAAGAGAGGAACAAGAGATGGGGGAGGGGGAAAGGAAAGAAGGGAAAAGTAAAAAAAAAATGAGAAAAGAAGGAAACAAAGCTTTTGTAAATGGGGAGGTAAGAAGAGGTTGAAGGGAGGTAGGGTGATGGGGGAAAAAAGAATCAAGTTATAGCATGTACAGGTACAAATTCTCTGTGATGAATGTGATCATTATATATATTTTTTTTTTTTTTTTTTTTTTTGGTCTTTTTGAGACAGGGTCTCGCTCTGCAGTTCAGGCTGGCTTTGAGCTCACTTTGTAGCCCAGGCTGGTTTTGAACTCACAAGGATCCTCTTGCCTCAGCCTCCCAAGTGCTGGGATTACAGGCGTACGCCACCACACCCACCCGGCTATTATGTATATTAAAATGTACCAATAAAATCTGATTGGGAGGGAAAAAAACCCAAACAACAACAAAAAACTCTACCCACCTTCAGTCTTTTCTCTGGTACCAGGAACCAAACTCAGGACCTTGCACTTGCCAGGCAGGTACTGTGCCACTGAGCTACATCCCCGGCCCCAGTCTTTTCAGTTTGACATTAGGCAAATGAGTCAGGCTTGCCCCTCCCCTGGAGGTCTCAGAAAATTTACTGCTTGAGTCCTTTGGGCCTGACTGGCTCATGAGGGCCTTTGTTGTGATACCTTGGAAACTGCTTGTGTTCACCCTTCACCAGGCTTTGGGCTTCAGCACAAGGGGAGAAGGGCCTGCCCTAGAGCAGGTTTGGTTCTGCTGCCCGGGGAAGATGGTGCACAGTGAGCCTGAGCAGAGGACTCCAGGTCCTAAGTCCTGGAGTCCCAACAAGACATCAAAATCAACAACTGATCTATCAGGCCTAATGGAGTAGGAAAACCAAATCTGTGTGAGAGACAGCCCAAAGCTAGGGCTTATTTGCGAGGATGACAGTCAGGCCCAGGAGGCTCTGGCTAAGGCTGTGAGGATTCCAGTTTCCAACAGTCAGTTCCAGGACACAGAGTAGGGTGAGGGTCTCCGGTTGTCTTCAGAGCTTTTCTCCAGGCCTTTCTGTCAGCCTCAGAGCCATCAGACGCCTCAGAAGTGAAAAAAGGAGCCAGGACCTGGCCATGAAGAAGTGGCAAACTTTCAAACTCTAGGGTACCACATGCAAGGAAGAGGGACTGTAACAGGAAGGAATAGAGTCCGGCCATCATGAGGGTGGTCAGGAGGGCGC